GAGCGTATCTTCGATTCTTTCTAATATTATTTTTTAGAGGAGTTTAAAGCATTAATTCTGAACTGGTCCCGAATCGGACTAGTCGCGAAGTGAACCCATTGGAATATTTTAAAATAAACTTTTTCTTTGATTTGGCAGATAAGAATATATTTTGAAACTGGCCGACCGACTAATTTTTATGCAGCTTGATTATAAACTGATTTAATAATGGGGTAAGTGTGTGTCTTTTTTTTTTTTTTTATAACAAGTGTGTGTTTTTTTAAAGAACATAAATTATGTCCTTTTCGTGATTAATAAGATTTAATAATGAGTTAAGTGTGTCCTTTAAAATGACAAATCTTTTTCTCTTTAATAATTTTTGTTTTTGTTTTCTTCTCCGGTTCATCTTTCTCTTGTTTATAAATACCTTCGGTCTATTTGTTTGATCAATGATGAAACATACTATTTTTCCATGATTTTTCTCCACATGTTGCTTCCTTTTAAACAATAATTATCATCACAACTTTTTATTAGTCACGGCACATATTGTCTTTCTTTTAACATCTGAAGCAATAAATCAAAAGTAGTAAAAGAGTTTAGATTCAACTTAAATCCTCTTAAGGAGGCTATTCTAGAAGCAACCATACTGTCAATTGAAGAACGTGAAGAGGTAATTCAACATGCACGCCATTAAAAGTGTTAACACCTCGGGTTCAAGAGATTGTTAACCTTCACCTATATATACAGAACATGAAGAATGTGGGCAATAAGTATTAAAGTCCTAACAACTTAACGTAAGAGGCTTTGATAATATATAATACAATATACAAATTTTGGATATATTAATAATATAATCAAATAATATGTTCATGGACAAATCCAATTAATATGTGAAAGCATAGTTATTTGGGTTCATATGGGCTCGAGCCCAATAACTTGCATTATTTTTAGGGAGCGTTTGGTTGAAGAAATTTTTTTTGAATACTAAGGAAATGTAATTAATAGGAAAATGGTAAGAAAGTGAGATAAAGTGAGATAGATAGAAAAATGTAAAAAAGAGTTGTTTGGTGAGAAAAAACTTTACTGGAAAAATTAAGTAACTTTTGTAAAGTCTATATTTGAGTGTAAAATAATATATAGATAAAAAAATGCATCCGAGTTTACAAAATTAACCCTCACTTTATAAATTTTTGTTTGAAAAGGAAGACACCCGTTACCCGTAACGTACGTCCATAAACTTTTGTAAAAAAGAAAGTTTGTGTTGCCAACGACCATTTCAGAGGTGTGTTTGGAAATAAGCTTGTCTGTGTTTCCGCTTCTCAAGCATGACAAGATTTTCGTCGACATAGCACTCCAGACAGTCAGTGAAGGCATACAAGCAAGGTTTTAAGAACTGCCTCTGCATTGCACCGTTGTTACCGAGTTAGGGTTCGACTTCCATTGACGCACCGGAAGGAAAGAAAGAGACCTTCAGCAAAAGAATTGTTGCAAGATCCATTTCTTGAGTCTGATGATGCCATATCCATGACAAAGATTGGAATTCAGAAGCCATTTTTAAATCACAGTGAGATGGAAAAACTTCAATTGAGTGATGATTTACCTAGGACTGAAATGTCAATAACTGGGAAGCTGAATCCGGAAGATGATATTATTTTTATCAAAGTGCAAATTGCTGACAAGGAAAGTATCTATTATTTTCTTGATGTTCAATCTCCTCTTTGGTTCATTTTAGGGAAAATTTTGTTTTATAAATACATGTTGATTTCAATTTCAGCACAACATCATTTACTTTTGTTTATTAAACGAACTTAAGTATTTGATTGGCTAATGTTTATAAACCAGCAGTGAACTTTATACTTGTGGTTCACTCATAGTTCAAGCCCACATATTGGAGTAAGTAGGAGTAAAACTTGCTCTTCTTCCTTTTCCTGCAGGTTCTGGTAGGAATATATAGAATTACCTAATCCCTCTATTAACGTCATCTGACTTTCCTTATGCTTAGACCTCAAATTAATCAATTGAATTTAAGGGTTGTGAATAACTTGCATGGAGTACCCAAAGTCTTAAGACGTCTTAAGCTAGTGTGTTTTAGCCCCTAAAGTTAGGGAAAAAAAAACTCACTTACTTGGCTGATCGCATGCATTAGGAACGATTAGCTTGAAAAATTCATAACTCTCTACTCACTTATCAAAATTTAACAAATGAGGTACTATTTTCAAGTTCCAGATGTCTAGTTTTATGACCTAAAATATTAGAATTTGTGGAGCTAAAGTGCATTCCCAATATTTTTTTTTTCTGTTTTACATTAAATTTCAATATTTTGTGCCTTTTAGATTTCGGTGTTGTTCTTGTCTACCAATTGATTGATGTATGTACATATTATAGCCTGGATCATTGTTGAGCATATGGCATCTGTGCGATATAACGGCTGCATAGATGGAAGGCCCTTATCCATGTTGTCAGTTTTGATTGAAGACTCAAACGAGTCTTCTTGGATATCATTAGTTATTTCTAGGGGGCTGTGTTTATTTTATTCATGCTGTTGATTTCGTTTCTGCAAATTTATAAGCCTCTATTACGATATGATAAGGAATAAAGAATCAGGTCAACACAGAGTGTTACACAAGAAGCACTTTGGGAACATGCGTGAAGTTCTAACCTTGCTCTAAAGAATTGCTAGACAAGCTAGAGGCCAAAGGGGAATATGGAAATATGGTGATAGAAGGTAGTGGTGATGCCTAGGAGAAGCTAAGTGTTGTATAGAATCTGTGAGGAATGACCAAAGGTGAGGGAAAAAAGAGAAAAGAAAGGAAAGAAGAAAGAATGTGTCTCTTAGGAGTGGAAATCAAGAAAAGAATGTAGTGGTTCTTGGGAGTTTGTCTTTAAAATGAAGAGTGAAATAGGAGTTATAAAGGAAAAAACCATTTTACCCTTTTTATAAGTTTTGACTCATGACATGGAGTATGGGTACGTTGGGGATTTCCATACTAGCTAGAAGAATTTATAACTAGCTCTCTATACAAGATAACTTATGTATGCAAAAAGAAAAAAATGTTCAGCTATCAAGTTAAGAACAAGATTCGCAAAGACCTGCAGCTGTAAATAAATGGCCAGCTGTAAAGTTTGTGAATGTTTGAGTAATTAAAAGGGAAAAGCAAGACTAGCAAATGAATGGATTTAAAAAAGCAGGACAGGACTTTGACTTTTGAATGAACGAATTTAGATATTCAACAGACAGCTTCTTGAGATTGGAGAGTTCAACATACTTATTTGTTTCCTGAATGTCCCCACAATGAGGTAATTTAGTCGCCTTTTGTTATGTTTGTTTTTTCAATTTTTCTATCTCAACATTATTTACATTTTCAGTCTGCACTTCTCCTGTATTCCATGATCATGTGTTTATGCTGTGACTATTCTTGGTTTGAGTTTGACTAGAGTTTGACTAGAGTTTAAAGCATTAGATCTATTGTTGAATTCAAGTAGCCTAAAAATTCAACAATAGATATGCAATATCCATATATTGATGTGTATTAATACCGGCAAAAGCTTCTTGTTGGAACATGATAAGAAATAGCACGTAAAAATATTGATTATAATGTTTTGAGTATTGATATATATATTTGTGTTCCCTTAAATTATATGCCAATCAGACATCAGTTGTGGAAGGCAAAATTGACATGAGGGTTGGTATTATCTAAAAATTAGGCAGAGAGTAATACAAAAAAAAAAAGATTTTTACTGTGGGGTTGGTATTACTTAACTCCATCCTAAAAGACAATCATTGATTTTGGTTCCATTTATAGCACAATGATGTGATTTTGCCCTCATTTTCTGCATAGCTGATTGCATGAGCTAGCTATGAACTGGTTTACCAAAGTGGAATGGAACAAGAACATGGTCATCCTTAATTGATTGTTGACTTTTAAAGGTCAATTATCTAATTTCCTTTTTTGTATCAAAATTCTGCTGGTTACTGTTTTCTTCCAGCAAAGGTTATATGAACCTGCTTCATCTAGCCGGTGGACACACTCTTTGAAGTGCATGTGTTGGAAGATGATCAATATGATGAAAAATTGAATGTTGATAAGGTTGATGGAGCACTTGAAGTTAGTAGTAATGATGAAAGACTACAAGAGGCAATTGGGAAAGAGATTGAGGCAGTAGAAAAAGCATCACGTGCAGGTATTGTTCACTTGATTGGTGAAAACGAGGTGATTGCTAGCAAAGGAGCTAACATTGGAAAGAGGATTTTGATAGATTATGCCTACAATTTCTTGAAGAATATCCAGAGACAGACTGACAAAATATTTGATATCCCCCACAAACGTTTGGTCAAAGTTGGACTGACATATGAACTTTAAAGAATTAAACTCTGTACAGATCAAAGGAAGAAATGTAGTTTTTTTTTTTTATTCCTTGGTTGAAGGAGAAACTCTGTATGTTTGGTGAACTGGATCAAAAGCAAGACCAAGAAGTTGTAATTGTTGTTATTTCAATATATGAAATTATATGATTAAGTTCCAAATTGCTATATTACTTTATATAAATTCTGTATCACAATAGCTCATGTCATAAGCATTACTTTGTTTAATTTTTTTAGCAGGACAATCACCATTTGGCACACTTGTCATTAATAACAATGCATAATAACCCGTGTCATTAATAACTGGTGAAAAAGACCTGTATTGTGCAGAGACCAGTGAAGACAATTAAAACAGTTTATAACTTCCATTGAATACATCCCTGTTAACATTTGCAATGAATAACTTTGTGATGCACCCAAGTACATTTTGTGAATATCCAATAAATATAGAGAGATTGAATCCCATAAATAAGTGACTTCTCATCTCTAATTCTCTACCCTTCCAATGTATGAAAGTTCACAAATTTCTGAACAATCACATTATCAATAAAGATTATAAGGCTGTAATAATATGGCAACATGAAAATAAATAAAAAAACTGAAAACCCATTACTGGCTCAATTGAGTAAAAAGAGAATATGAAAGTGTTTGAGCCCAACAACCTGGTACTGGAAAATCCAATAAGATATTGAATCGTTTCAAATGTCATACATTACACACTTCCTTGATCAAGCAAGGTCAATAGTCGGACATACTTATACAAGGTTACATAAATAATCAACACAAACTATTGAACTTATACAAATTCAACCAAACACAGCTGCTCTTCTATGCATGTAACTAATGTCCTCTTCTGTAAATGCTGTACACCTTAATATCAGCATCCTTTTTGGCAAAGGTGTCAATGATGACAACCTGTTGCAGATCCAAATAAACCAATGCTGCTATCAATCACTCCAATTCCATCCACATTCAACCACTTTGTAGCCTTTGTATCAGCACCAAAAAAACTGACAATAATTGAATTAAGCAAATAAGTTAATGACATTATGTTCATATCCACTGTCACAGATGCAGAACAAATCAACTGTTGCATGTGAATAATTTTGGGAAATACAATGGCAAATGCTATTACTCATACCTTACATGGATTGGCAGATGCAACTTATCAGTCCCAGCAATGGATTCAAAGGTGTCATAAGTGTGCCAATATGTGTTGGAACTCAGTATCCCTCACCAAAAACAGAGATCACTTGGCATTAGATATGGACCGTACAAAAAATCCCAAAACACAAGAAAGAGTCAGTATTTGTATGAGGACTCTACTGCAGCCATGTGTGTACAATGATTACCTAGCATGGTATATACAACATGTTATAGGAAAACAAACCACAGCAAAAGTTAACACTTAAACAAACCACAGCCATTTGGCACACTTACAACATGTCCATTTTTCCATATCAAGTTGCTTTTGACATGTCCATTTTTAGCTGGCAGCTACATATATCAGATAAGATAGTCATGGTTTTGTCTTGCTCTCTAAAAACAAATTTTCACAACATATTTCATCCTGAAGCTAATATATATCAAACCCGATTTGACCAATTACAGTAGGCTCGTGAGTTATGTACACAATCATTGCTTTCCTTTCAATAACACGTTTTTTTTCAGCTAGCTAGTGTATGTAAATACTATAGCTTTGAACAAATTATATAAGATGATCATTATTTTTGAGCTGGAGTTAACTCTTCAATACAGGTTTCTGATTATTAAACATCTCTCCCTATGAATGTGCATGGATGCAGAGAAAGATATACAGAAAATGTGATTTGTGTGCGTCCAATTCAGAAAAAAGGAAAACCTTCTTATAACTATCGCCTAAAACACACATGCACAATAATGAAGCATTATAGAAGAAAAGACATTCCCAACAACTACCAACGTCTCACCTTATAAATGCAAGGGGAACCATCGATATTTTTTTAACTTTTTTTTTTATTTGCCTAAAACATGTAAATAATTACAGGAGGAGAAATATGATTTAATGGTGGATCAAACCACATTAATTTTTTTTTTACTCACCCGAGGAAATGATACAACGACATTGAACTAACTTCTTATGCCAATTAAATTTTTTTAATATATTCCAGATTCATTGATGATCTGATTCAAGTACAAATAAACTTGTAAGAAATAGTAAACCCAAAAAAAATTAACTTGTTGTAAGAAATATTTTCGTGAAATTATTTTCTCCATTTCAAAACTCGATCTCAAATATATGATGAATCATGTCAAAATTCATACGGTCAGAGGCTGAATTCATGTCAAAACAGCAAGCATATATGATGAGATCTTACAAAAATCGATATATGATGAATCAGCTATATTCTCCACTAAGTAAATGCTTTGCTTATCTAAATTCATAAAAAAGCCAAAGACATTATGGTTTAGCATCATGAGGGGAAGGAGAATAATCAACCAGCTCTTTACCCAACTCATTCAATTTTTAAAACAAGGACACACATCAAGACTCATCCAACTTTTCCTGTAGTTTTTGGACCACTTTAAGAAACTAAATAAAAAAATCAAAACGAGGGCAGAAAAGAAATGAACCATTTTACCCACTGATGACATTGAACTCTAGGCAAGGGCACATGATAAATTACTCAATCAAGATGCTTAAGAAACAGAGACTTACCGGAGAGGCTGTGGATGATGTAGTCGACGACAAACAACAAACGCAAAGTAAATGCTACTGTCGGACACCAATGCTTCTCGACACCACCCTCTTCTCTTGACACGTACGCGCTGTACCTACATGCAATTTAACACCATAGATGAAGGGGCAAACGCATTCTTTGTGAGGAAAGCACCCAAAAAGGCAAACGAAAAAATAATTTCTTCGAACGAGTTACCTCCCATAAATTTTTCACCTTCGTGCTCACTGATGATTGTTGATGTTTCGGTATCAGACCAAAAAGATGAGCGAAGGTGAAGTGTTAACCTTTTGATATTTCGCTCATCCAGTCGCACAAATGTTAACCTTTTGATGTTTTTGTGCAAGTGTTGCTCTTTAAAAAAAGCCACTCTAACAACTCTGCAAAGTCGACATGATTGCCATTTTCCTTTCGCGCGCAAAGAGAGGGTAGCGTCGTCTTTTGTTTAGAATTTTGTCTGAGCAATGAGGCAGCTTTTCATAAAAACCACACTGCCCATGGGATACACTTTGCCGGCTAAATGGTGAGAAAACATGGTTATCTTGGTTATGTAGGGAACTCACTTAGGTGGGTAAGTGTGAAAAAACCTTGAAGCAAACATGGTTAACTGATATGCCCATTTATCATTTACCCATCAATCTCTTACAAATCCCTAAACCAAACGCCCCCTTAGGGTTTTCTATGTTAGAGATAACACTGTTGAACATTTTAAACCTGATGTCTCTTGGTCTAATACACTTCAAGCACCTAAAAACCCATAACCTCCGACATAATTATTACTTCTATGTATAAAATAACAAAATGAATTTACTAAAATACAAATGGAAGGCAAGCTACTATTAGTTGTGATTTCAGCATTTTCCATTGATAGTAGTGTTCATCAAGGATTGCTTATTGGCTTGCCAAATCATATGATCAATTGGAAAGTTAATTCAACATGCACGCCATTAATTGTTTCATTTCAAGATGATGCCCAATTTCATTGTATAAAGGACAATCCATGTACTGTGTTTCATCAAAACTAACTATTATTTCTTTTGCTTCTGCCCATCAGTCTAGCTTCATCAACATCAATATTAAGATTTGTTCCAGCAACCTATAGATTTCTTTTGAAGTGAATAAACTAATATTAGCTTCAAAACTAATATTAAGATTTGTTCCAGCAACCTATAGATTCATCAACATCCGTTGCATCTAATTCTTATTCCACTTCAAGTTTTAAAACCAGCTATCTAATTCACCAATCCTTTTTCACAAATAACAGCGTAGACCATAATTTTCAAATTGTTGGATGAGTTCACTCACTTTTTGTCTCTGCATAGAAATTTGAAGCAACCCACAAGGACAACTATGGCAAAACCGACGAAGATAAATATGCAGATACAAAGCACCACTTTACGTGTTTTTTTCTCAAATTCATCATCGTAGTCCGTATAAGTTCTTGGTTTGTTCTCTGGTAGTTCGAGGTCGACCAAGTTAGCGTGCAAGTTGGACCAGGTTTTACTTCTCTGGGTAATGACTCGGTTGTACTTGGTACCCAGAGAAACCAAGGCAGCCAAATTGAGAAATGCTGCAAGGACAGAGAGGGTAACAAGGAACCAACTGTCTGAGCATTTTAGAGCTGTGCTGCGATTGCATAGAACACCAAGGATAACGCCTTGGAAAACGAAGAAATAATTAGCCAGTTGGAATGCGCTCGATTGAAGATGAATCAGACGGTCTTCCATCTTCTCCAGAGAAGTTATTTGTGCTTCAATTTTTTTTTCTAACCTTTTCACACGGTCTTGATCACTGTTGCTGTGGCTGTTTGCCATGGGTGGCTTGTTGAGGGAGAAGCTACGAACTGGTGATAAGCCTCTGAGCAGGATGAAAAATGAAGGAAACTTAATGATTTGTTTCAAGTCAATGGATGGTTGTTGGAGTCATAAATAAATATCTTTATATTAAATCCTTATTTTTTAAGTATTATCATGTCAATTTTTTAAAGGAAATTAGTAGCTCAAAGACTAAGTAACCGACATTCTGAAGCAAACAAGAAAGAAGTCAGATTCCAAGTGGGTCACCTAGCCATTTCAAGTCTTCTCAAATCATAAGTAACAAAAACCAATTTCCCAGCATATTCAGTTAACACATGCAAATTAGATAGGGTACCAATAAAAATATATTCAGTTAACACTCTGCATATATTGTCCTTTGTTTTTCTTTTCTAAAAAAAGAGTGAAACCGAAATATATTGTTATAGATAACAACCAGAAACGTGGAAAGAACAGCCAAACAACAACTCAGGCATAACAAATTTGAAATCTCATATCAATCTTATCATCAAATTTGAAAGACCGAACACCATAACGAAAGAACAAAGGGCACATTAAAGTTGGGGGGGGGGGGGGGGGGGGGGGGGGGGGGGGGGGGGGGAATAAACATATCAAGATCCATTGAAAAAAAAAACCCCGAAGAATCACCATTATTACACGATTAAATCGACAACAAACGGCAACAAAAAATTTAAAGGAGAAGTGGCAAACCTGGATGGAATTCGTGTGAGGAACGGCGTCGGAGTTTTAAAGGGAGGGCTCTGTTTCTTTGTTTCCTTAAGAGACGATAGACGAAGTCACAAAATATAGGAGAGGTTTACTTCTTCAGCCGTTCAGTTCAGAATCTTCAGATAAAGACTTCAAAGATGAAAAAAGAGAGAAAGTGAGATTTTTTAGGGTGAGGTTGAGATTTGAGAGAGAGGGTTTAAAATCAGTTACTGTTTCAAGATTTGAAAGATTTTACGATTTAAGGAGAAGATTTTAACGATTTCACAGGTGATACGATTTTAAGTGAAATCTAATAAATCGTTAAAATCGGAAGTTAAGATTTTAACTACCATGAGTATTACCATATTAATCTTTATGTAAATTGATTACAAAAGGATGAGTTTTTTTTTATATATATATATATTTTTTAGTTTTTTTAGTTCATCTTCTCTTGTTTGATCAACGATGAAACAAACAATTTTTCACTGATTTTTCTCCACATGTTGCTTCTTTAAACAATAATTATCATCATAGTTTTTTAATTTGAAAGCGATATATATATATATATATATATGGTTTATTACTTCTCATGTTGCAAGAGATAAATTTATTTTCTACACACATAAAAGTATATATATATATATATATATATATATATATATATATATATATATGCTTTATTACTTCTCATGTTATAAGAGATAAATTTATCTTCTACACACATAAAAGTGTGTAGGACCCATTTTTTCTGTTTTTCTATCTTATCTTCACATGAGCCCAACATATTTTTATGTATGTACATGTTTATTTCCTACAACATAAAAACATTTACCCCAAATCAAAAGTCTTACACCGATGTAAGAATTAGAAGTTTTACACCAAATCAGAATTATTGATTTTCGTATATCTAACGGCTAAGATTTGTTGGGTCATATTAATTAATTAATTATTAATTTTCAATAAATTATAACTTTCCTCCAACTGTCATATGACACATTATCTGTAAATCTAATTCTTTGTTGTTAAGGTTAGAGGAATCAAACAGAACAACTCTCACTAACACACATTCTATACACACACCGACACTATTAGGCTAATCTTAACGGATATTTTCAATCTAATTTTCAATCTAATTTTCATTCTAATAAATTTTATTTTATTACTTCTCTTAGTAAGGTTTGACCGACTCTTCCTATTCCCTTACATATATTTTTAAATTTAAGAAAAATTATAAAATACAACTTAGTAAGATAGTTAAAATTATATAAAAAAAATATGTGTAATTAATCCATGTATAATCTAAAGAGTATATATAAAGAAAAACCTGAAATTATAAATAAAATATACATAATTAAGTTAAAATAATTAAAAATTAAAAATAACATGACTCATTCTTAAATTTTTTTTCTTCTAAAAAGTCAAGTTATCACCAAAACAACAACTCCAATTTAATATACAGGTGTGTATTCTTTATAGTGCTCAAATGACGTGAATTGAGAATAGATTTTTTATTTTATTTTTGAATATTGCAGGAGTTTGATACCCAGCCGGATGGCTGCCTCCATCTACTATTCAATGATGTTGTGAGGGTAGATTGTGTCTTGTATAGGAGAATATCTTTCATATATCAGATGTATTGAATTTTAAATATTTTTTTAAATTTGAAAAAATAATATTCGCTCGGTGTTCACACACAGCTCCGTATAATTGAGTTCTTTTTCTTCTTTTTTTATTCTTTATCCAAGTGACTTGTGCTGATTCACCACGGAGTTTAGGGTAATTCCATAAAACCTGCCTGCAGTCATAATAAAATCGGATCGATGCAGTTGGATTAACCCGAGAACTAATAAATTGATCATATAATTAAGTGAAGTAGCAGATCAGTCAAGCATTGAAACTGATGCAATTCGGTGGATTTTGATAAAAATTGGTGACCTGGTCGGTTTAATCGTTGATGCGGTCGATTCAACCGATGACCCGATCGAACTTCAACCGGTGACTCGATCCGGTTCATAAAAAAAACATTTCTAAGAAAAATCATAAAGGATATTTTTTTTTTTAAATTCACAAATAACTTGTTTTCTTTTGAAATGTTTAAGTGATTTATGGTTTATAGACTTATCTTGGTTATGTACTTACAATATTAATATTATCTTGATTATGCATTGTGCAAGAAATTTTAATTTAATTTATAACTAGAGATATCGTCTACTAAACTTGAAGCATCAGTATTACAAATATTATATATTTGTTTGATCTTTTGTTAGATAATAATGAATGGTTTATTATTTTTCATATTAAAATTGGTATTTTTTTTACAGGTATTTGAGTATATTATATAAATTATATATTTATATCTACTTATCGGGTCATGAAATTGAACTAGTAATCTGGACGCAACTATAAAAATCTTATTTTGTGTGGATAAATATAAAAACATATTACGTGCTAATATAAAATGCTGAGAGTTAGAGATTACAAAATGGGCTTGGCCCGGAGGGCCGACCCACCAAGCCCACAATTCATTTAATTTAATTTAATTTACCAAGCCAGCAAATCCACCAAGCCTGCCAACACATTTTTGTCTTATATCTATTGTCTAACAAATTCGTCTTTATGTGACTAAGTGTTTGCTAAAATATTAAACGTAATAACTCAAATATTTGTCAACTCTTCATCTTATATATATGTCACAAATACACACACTTCCTTTGATTTTAGAGGCAACTATAGAAAACATAGATAGATAGTAATCTAGACGCAACTAGAAGAACTTTTTGTGTAGGAAAATATAAAAACCTATTACATGCTAATATAAAATGCTGACAGTTAGAGGTGACAAAATGGGCTTTGCCTTAGGTCAAACCCCACCCCGCCATCACATTATTTTTTCATATATTTACTGTCTAATAAACTCATATTTATGTGGCTAAGTGTTTTTTAGAATATTAAACGTAATAACTCAAATATTTGCCAACTCTTCATTTAATATATATGTTCATTTAGGGGCGGCAATTCGTGTCAACCCGACCCGACACGACTCGACCCGAATTTTATATGACACGAAAAATCTCAACCCGAACACGACCCGCTTATTTTACGGGTTGACACGACACGACACGAATAACCTTATAATGTAACCATGACCCATTATTACACATGTTAACACAACTTGACTCGACCCGACCCGACACGAGTTTAGAATGCTCACATTCAAAACCTGTATTTAGGCACTAATTTTACATCCAATAAAAGCACATACATCAATAAAAGCCACTGATGAGTGAAAAAGGTTGTTTGAAATCCTAAGTGCATGTTATTTCTTTTATACCACTCACTAAAATGACTATAATAACCTTATACAAAAACTATTTGCGGGTCAGAGCGGGTTAACAGGTTGACCCGTACCCGACACGAATTTTTTCGTGTCATTTTTCTTCAACCCAAACACGACCCGAACAGTAAACGGGTTGACCCAAACACGAAAATTTCGTGTCGGGTTAGCGGGTCGTGTCAGGAATTGCCACCCATATGTTCAATGTGTCGATTTAGTGGCAACTATAGAAAACATATATATATATATCTATATATATATATATATATATATATATATAGTAATCTAGACGTAACTATAAGAACATAGTTTTTTGTGGATTAATATAAAAATCTATTACACGCTGATATAAAATGTTGACGGTTAGAGGTGAAAAAATAGGCTCGGCCCAGCGGCCCGCCTCGCCCTGCTTGCCTACACTTTTTTTTTTTTATATTTACTTTCTAACAAACCTGTCTTTATGTGGCTAAGATCATTGAATTTATTGCTGTAAAAATTTTATAAACAAGAATCTAAACAAAATGAACAATAAAATTGTAATAAATGAAAGTTCATCCATGAGAAATACTGAAAGATGTTGAATCAAAATTTGTAATTTCTAAATGACTACATGACAAGTTAAAATATAGCAATATACTTTTATGATTTGTGTTATCTTTTAACCGACAAACAAACCATTTTTTTTCTCCATACAATGCATGAGTAATACTCTAGTAATCCAATAATCCAATACCTCAATCGAATCAATAACTGAGTCAATAGTAGTTAGCCTTACAAGATAATCCTTACTGATTCACACGAAATTCCATATGTCACATGATTTAATAACATTGCCAGGTGAAAACTCAAGACTTTTTAAAAAGCCATCCTACACTTTCAATTAAAATAATTAACCTCTTTTTATTATCACATTATAACTATTAAACATAGGAAAAAACTATTCTCATGTTACATGAGATAAATTTTCCATCCTACACACTCTTCGATAACTGTGTTGTTCTGTCCTTGAGATAGAGATGTCCAGCCCAATAGGCTGGTATGTTTCTCTTGGATCTAGTGTCCTCTCCAAGATATCTATGAATGAGATACCCTTGAGTTAAGCAGATCACTGTGCACAGAATACTATAACGCCGTTAGCCAATGGGGTGTGTGTGCGTACAGTGACAGCATAACTGTAACACCCCATGTATACCCGGAATATTAACATTACATCGTATTAAGCGGTGCTTAATTAAAAATGCGGAATATTCTTTTTCTTTTCAATTATGACGTCATTATCAATTACCAACTTGATTACTTAATCAATTTCATAAAATATCGCCTGTATGTAAATTGCAATAAGACATCTACTGAAATACCTCAATATATAGATAAAGTGTGTATCTAAATCACGACATTACATCAAGTAATCCGGACAATATCCTGATACATTATTACAACTCCAAAAGACTCAAGACATAATCAAGACATAATAGTACTATGTGTCATGGACAATCCCCATGCTCACCAAATGGACATAGTAAACAACAATCTCAACATAAAACTCCAAAATCATACTGAAGCTATAAGCATATAAACAGCATGCAATCCAGCATCCAATCATGGCAGCATAATATAACAGCAATCTAACTCAGCTCCGGCCTCCTGCCGCCTGAGGTCTCAACATTACCTGACCCTGAAATAAGCATTCCCCAAACGTGGGGTGAGATCTCTAAACTAGAAATCTCAGTAAGACAAGGGATCCTCAAGGATCTTCCACCCCAAGCTCACTTACATGTGCAATATAAGTTCAAAAAGCATTTATATCAT